CACCCCCTACAGCTGGTATCTGCAGTAGAGGAGGAAGGGTGAAGTGAAGGAAGATAGAACTCTCCTTACAGATCCTAAGCTCTGTAAGGGTGTGTCCATTCACTGAGCCAAAAAGTCTCAAGGGTGAAATAAAAATCCCCATGAGACTTGTGGAGAAATAACTTCAAATCGTAAGTCAAAATGGTATTTCCAGTTTTGTTCCTTCGCTCCCCCTTGATAATTCCCCAGCTTCTCATCATGACATGCACATTGTTAGAATGATAGGAATAGGAAAAACGAAGATGGGATTGTGCTACAAAAAGAGGAGATATTGAGACCTATTATGTTGTGTTATGTTATATTAGTAAAATACTTAATCTCATCCTCCACTGAGCTAGGCTTGGAACGCTCCTCTGCCTGCCCTTTGCCTACCACTGGCATGGCAAGTTAAAGAAAACTCTTCCAAGTTTTTATTTCCCCTGTATTATGTCAGGATTATTAGTGGGCAGGGGGCACCCTGGTAGTGGTAACAACGTAAAGGTTAAAGGAATAAACGGGGAGACCAAAGGATAGTCAGTGTTGCCGCTGAAAGATTCTTTGGGGGGAAGGGGGCCACTCCACAAGAATTATTTTAAAGAACAAAATTAATAAAGAGAAAGCTGAATTAACAGGAAGGTTGATGTAGGAAACCACGTTTTTATTCTAGGAATGCAAAGAGGAGTCACTGACTAAGTGTTGAATGTTGGCATATGTGCGATGCCAGTGGTGGCCAAAATGGTGGCCAATACTGATAAGCTGAATTAACCCGCACATGTTATAATTCCAGCAGCTTCTCCACAATATTCTGTCAATTATAATGAGGCCACGCTGAACAATTCTGCATATATGAGCTGAGCATAACGAGACAGTTTCCTACTCTTCATTGGCTGATATCTGTCAATCAGTAAGATAAGTGTTGTCATTTATACTGAAATATGATACAATTCTTACCAGAAAACAGTTTGATTCTCTAATATTTTACTATTAACCCATTGTCTACTGTATTCTCCTTTAACAGTTATGAGATAAACTCTGTATTATCTTTCAGCAGTAGTAATTCATGAGTCTGATATGTCCCAAGCAAAGTAGAATATACTGCACTACTCTCTATTTGGGCTTCTACTGTAAATAGGGAACCTGTTGTTCTGACCATTTCTCAGCTTTGTCTAGAACACAATGTTTTCCTCTCTTATTTAATCGTTAGAATCTGGGTTATTTTCTTCTTAAAATAGCTGAGTTTTAAGACTAGCAGCAGCTGAGTGAAATATGTTGGTCTCATTAAACATTACACACAGCTATGTTCACCTTGAGACTCAAATGTACAATTTATCATTTGCTTCATGAATCAAGGCTGTGGCCTGGTTTACTACAAAAGTAATGACATCAGACTGGATAACCTATTACTTAGAAATTTTAGGTTACGCTGGGCACAAGGAATTTGTGAGGCAAACTCTTTAATAAAAATATCTGACAAGCTCTTCTATTAGAATAACTGCTCATGGCTATCCACATGAAATGTTGGCATAGACCTGAAAACATTATATCTTTCACCAATTTTAGAGGGAGGGGCTCCAAGAGAAGATAGATTACTTCAAATTCTTGGTAAAAAAAAAAAAAAGTCTTTTCTCTTATATACGAACAAATCACAGAAATGCTAAAAAAAAAAAAAACCCTATATACAAACTTAAATTTATTAATAATAGCTTCACACAGTAAAATGGTGTATCCATACAAGAACGATATTTAAAAACAATATATGGTTTTTACACATTAGAAAATTAAAGCCTTCATCTTTTATAAATATCGTAATACTGGTAATACAGACTTAAGTTGTTAGTATTTTTAACACATTTGAAAATGTAGACTAATTTTTTCCTTTACATAAAAAAATTTGTATGGAAAAGAAATTCACTTTAGTATATCTTATTCCAGTTTTCTAAAATGCTAGCATAGTAATGAGTGTTCAATTTTTCCAAAGTTTATTTTAATCTCTTTCTATGATCATATAATCATAATATCAATAACAATTAAGGGGGAATATTCTTCTAATTTGATCACAGTGGATTGAATGACCCATATTTTCTTTTTCTAATTGTTACTTGCAAAGAGATAGATTGTTTTAAACTTAATAAGCCACTGACAACAGGGTTCACCATATACATTCCTTCCTCCTCTAGTACAGGCAGTGCCCGTGCTCTGCAGACAGAAACTGCAACTTCTACATGGACGATTGCCAAGACCTGTCCACCCCAGCCCGGACTTCTACTTTGCCCGGATTCCTGAATCTTGGGTGAAACAAACTTAAAGCATCTGTTATTGTGGAGACTTTGTATTATTTTTAAGAAACAAACAATTACCACAAAATGAAATAATATATGTAATGAAAGAAAAGTGGAAAAGTTGGAAAGTTCCCTTTTTGAATCCTGTTTAAAATTACCATCATTCTTTAGAGAATGTCCCTGGTTGTTCAGAATAAATGCATTTCTTTCTTATTTGCATGGGAGTGCTGTATTCCCTGAGCATTTGCAATAAATGAACACTCATTTACAAAGTAAGGCTGATTGGAAAATGCGGAATATAGTGCATAAATAATTACTTATTTCTTAAATGTTCCTGGCACTGACAACAAACGGTACCTCTTCTGATCCATGATCAAATGACACTGGTGTTTGGGTTTTGTTTTTTTTTATTATTTGTTTTCTTGCTGTTTTACTGTATATCAAGTGAATTGGTAATGACAATGACAACAGCAATAATGCCTGAGTTCCTACTATGTGTCATGATCGCTAATCTCTTGAGGGTATTAATTGCATCCATATTGCCACCTCGCTGTAATCTGAATCCATTTCTTTTTTCACATAGAAAAGCTGCATTACAACTGTCTGGATTGGGTCCACTTTGTAGCCCTAAAGCAACACCTTGGTTTGGGACACACCGGGAAATTCATACAGGAGTATGAATTTGCCAATGTACAAAGACTACAGATAGTGAAATTTGATTCTAAAAACAAAGATCAATATGGTCGAAAGGCATGTTTAGCTAATGACAAATCACTAGGCCTCGATTCAGAATAGTGATAATTTTCTCATGAATCATACAGAGATAGTAAAGCACCAGGGCATTCAGTCAAACTACACAGCATTATTTTATTTCTAATCACTGCTTTTTGTTACTGGAATTCCTTTCTACTTACCTTCATCCACTCCAAAACTGTCTACTGAATATCTTGAATATAAAGAAAACAACAAAATAACAACATTTTCCCCAAAATTCTTCTTCCATAAAGAGGGTCTTCATAAAGACTCATTTTTGAGGTTTCTCTCCTATTCACTTCATTTTAATAATCAAAATACTTTTGGAGATGATACATTGTCCTGAAACAACTTTTATAAATACTAGTTTGGGGAGGGGGGCAGTTTATGGAGGCCACCTGATAGGATAGGTAAAATAAAGTAGCTTTTACAAAAAGTGTTTCCACACACGGATGTTGCTGTAAACAAACCTTAAAAAAACACAAACTTTTAATGTATTAGAATTAGTTTCTGGAGATCATAAAATATTCAACTTATAGAAAGTATTTTTTAAAATTCTGCTGGAAGGCATAAATGACTTCTTGGGGCTTTAGATAGTTCCTAAGACGGCAACAATCACGGATTCAAAAGGTGCTGCCCCTAAACACTTAGGTGGAAGTCAAAATAATTGGCTCTGGAAAACTGGTAAATAACTAAATGTGCTTTAGGGATGACAGAGCCTCTAACGTCAAAGGCACATGTGAAATGTTGAATGTTTTCATAAAATGTAAGTAAACAGAAGAATTTCTAAGCTAATATGAGACTATAAACATTTACAACTATATTAATGAACATAAGAAATAATCATTTGAGTTTTCATCTATAATGGTCAAAATTTATATCTTCCAAGTGGCCCAAAAATCATTTTTGGATCTGCTCACTGGTCAGGATCACTTTGTAAAGCAATCATTTCTATTCGTTCATTTTTTGAGGCAGGGTGGAAAGCACTTTTTTTCCCAACTAAATTTATATTTTCTATCATTTTCTGTAATATAATGTACTTAAAATTCTCTTTTCCAAAGGTTAAGTTTCCTCAAACTCAGTCTTAGAAATTTCAAGATTCTACCAATATGGTAGAATTATTTCTGTACGGAAGGAAATAAAAGAATAGATGACATTCTAAAAATATGAGACATAAAAAAACCACACACAAAATACCATATTGATAGATAGAACTGTGCTGTGGAATACTCCTTGTATTCATCATTTTCCTTGGTAAATAGCATCAAACCGTTAACACAAGGGGCTAATTTGGCAATGAGTGTAGAGTCACAGATCAGACACTGGAAATGTCTGGATTACTCTACACGCAGCAGAGTGTGATTCAGCACAAAGCGCATCTGCCCTGGCCTCCACCTGAAAGTTCAAGTTAGTGAAACACCAAGAGAAACGAACTATGAGACAACGTCAACCACAAAGTAGTCCCAGGGCCTAAAAAATTCCGGTTGTCATTACGGTGAGGTGCCAGCCGGGTCTGACTTCATGCTTGTGCTGATGAGCCACGTGCTCCCTGCTGTAGAGGGTAGAGCACACTCAGCTCACAGAGCAGCACAGTGAAGGACAGCAGTCAAATAACTGTCCTTTGAGGGACGATAGAAAAGCTTAGCCAAAAACTTAATTTAACAAAGAAGTCCTGACACTACTAATCCACAAGTATCTTTGACGCCAAAATGTGCTAGTACGTTATTGAAGCAGAGTAAATTATTTGAAAAAAAATAATTTTGTCAAAAACGGGCATTATGTGAAAGAAATTGCTCAAGTATGCATCTTTTCTGCTATGATTCTGGGTGAAGAAGCATGACTGCTGCATAGATACTTCTACTTCTTAAGCATTTTTCCGGGTCAGAGATTATTTCAAAGCAGGAAATAAATAAGAATAAAAATGAATTAGAAAATGGAAATGGTCTATACCTGAGAAATCTGCCGCTACGAGATCGACTGCCTTTAAAACTTTCACTTGTAAAATGCCGACGTCCTTCATATCTTTCAGGGAGTTCTGTAAGCACTGAAGGTTGAAAAGGAGATCATAAATGAACACAGCTTTCTAATATACTACTTAATTCCATAAAGTCCTACGGGAAGTACATTCTAGATTTATCTTCCCCTTTCTCATGAAATCTTTAACACGTTCTAAAAATGCATGATATCAGTCAATAGGAAAGTGAGGCATTTATAGCAGCCAGATTAAAAGAAAAGTGACTGAGAATTAATTAGCTACAGCTTTAAAATAAACCAATTAGAAGCACATACAATCTACTTTTAACATCGCCCCCTGGTGATAGCATAGATATCCCACCGGGAAAATGTGTGGGTAGAACTACATTCATTCTCTTTTTTTCCCCCTTCTTTCTCTTTAATGCAACTTTTAAATCACCTTAAAAGGCAACATTATTCTGACCTAGTTAGTACAAACTGTATGGATACCAGAAGACTAAATTTGGACCCATCATAGATATTTATTACCAGTGAAAAGAGAGTTGGGATGAAATAGACTGAATTTTCTGATCTATGTGTTAGCCAGTTCATTAAATTAGAGATGGAGCACCTAGTATCACCCTGTATTCATATTTACTTTAACCTGTAGTTTGCATGAGCCAAAGACTGAATATATCTACTGGTCATTCTTATATATATATAGCAATATTTGGGTATCTATACATGGCATCTTTAAGAAATTGTGCATGAAAGAGATCAACAGATAAACTCTCTTCTCAAGCCTCCAGAACACATCTACTGAAAAAGATGGTGCTTCAAAACCTTCGAATATACTGTTTCCCTCATTTCAGATAGCTAAAAACCTATGATAAGCAGATCCCAGGGATTTACAGGAAGATAGTAAAGTCCTTGTTATTTATGCATTTCAGGTAGAATAACAAAAGCTTAATGATAGTTCAGGTTTGCCTAATCTAATATGCGTCATTTCTAAAAACTTTTTGCAAGTTGTTTCTTCTCTGGTTTTTCAACCTAAAGCAGCTAACAAACAAAACAGCTAGTTATCAAGGTAAGAGAAAGCATTAGAAATAAAATACTTTTATAATTTGAGGTAGAAATGCCTTTACAGAATATCTGTTTTTACAACCTAAAAAACAAAATCCAGGGAGCTGTAACTTGTGTTTTGTAACACAGCATTCTTCCCCCTAACATGCCGGCCAGCTTGCCAGCTGAAGAAACACTCGATATTTCTATTTTGATTATAGCCTCTTCAAACCTCTTTTCAATTACTAATCCTCAAATCCTAAGGCATTATTCAAAGCAGCCATTAGGATGATATCTAATGTTACTTTATAAACACACAACTCTCCTGATGAATTTCGTAAATTTTGCAATTTATCCATGGGAAAGCTTGGGCAAATTCACTGTCGAATTTTCAATTGTTTAAACTACAGTCATCAGAGAAAATAGTGAACTGAGTCAAACCGTATTCAGAGTATGTCAACCTGGCATGCACAATCTGCCTTGACAATGAGCTATGGGGCTAGGTCTTGTACTCCTGAAGATAAAGAATTATTCAATTAATCAATACATCTACACAGTGAAGGATTCTGGAGACACTAAAGTTTATGCCGAGAATGATATCGCCATTGAATAAGGATTCATCTTTGCTTCATTTTCATGCCACTGTCCTAAAACATGCCTTCCCTGTGTGGTAATAAAATAAATGTATTGATTTACAAAGGAGATAGGAAAAAAAACAGAATGCAAATAAAGGCACCTAGAAAGCCAGAGTACAAAAAATAAATGAAGGGGACACAGCCATTTGATTTAAAAATGCTGAGTGGACCGTTAAGCACACTGCGACCACTTAGGGAGAAATCACACACCGCTATTATCATCCAGGGTAGTACAGTCCGTTCGTACAACCGTCGTCCGTGCCTGTCTAGTGCTATTGCTTAACAAGGCACGAGTAGGTTCTTACTTGGTTCCAAAAAGTTCTGCAAAGGTATCTATAACATTGCAAATATTAATGCTTGGTTAAAAAGAGAAGTTACCTCTGTGAACTTATGTTAAAATTCCTATTTACATATGCAGACACGTTAAGCAAGAGTCTGCTTCGCTGAGGATTTTAATGTTTTCCAAAGACTCCTAAAAGCTAAAAATTCAAAATTCCTTTTCAGCTTCTAAAATAGCAAGGCAAACTCTGAGTCTACTTTCACCTCTTCACTAACACGTTAACCCCCAGGTCTGATGTCATGTTTTATGACATACAATTAAACTTAGGACAAAGATCTCTTTTGATGCAGTTTTTCAACTTGTAGACTTTGTTTCAACAAAGATTTTGTTTTAATAAAAGGGAGGGTGGGAGAAGGGGGCAGTGGTGTAGTAAGACAAAGCACTCACGTATCGCTGGGAAATCTGCTTTCTTTCACTGGGGTCTGCTAAGGGGCACACGCACAGATCAGAGATGGAGACTCCCGCACAGGGCGTAAGTGTGACCAACATAAGGAGAGCCCCCAGACAGCTCTCCAGCGGCAGCTCTAAGCAGTTGGCTTGCTTCAGGGGGAGTGCCGAGATATCCACTTTACACCTAGAAAAGTTCCAGGAATCAGAGAAAAAAAAAAAAAGTGATTAACTCGAGGCCACTGCAGAACCTCCAAAGCACCTGGCTTTCATTTCATCATCCCCCAACCCGCACTCTGTCTGGGCCGGGGGTTTATTGAGCAGTGAGAGTCTCAGGGACTCCCCAGGCTCGTAATGCACGCTCGCAGCCTAACACACTCTAAAATTAAGGAGAGAACGAGGTACAGAAAATCAAAGAGAAGGCAGCATAAGGGGATGGCAAATGAAAAGAGAAGAATCAGATCTGCAGAAAGACAATGAGAACAAGAATTAGGGAGAAGAAAAGTTTCAAAGTTTAAGCATTAAGCGTGAGAGCTGTTACGGCTTCCCTGCTCTGTGTCTTTTATGAGTAAAGAGAATAAAAGATCATGGTTGAAAAAATGAAGGAAAAAAGATATGAGAAATGCAAGTGGGAGAGAGTTAAAGGCGAAACCGTTTTCTTCCCGATTAATGCTAACTGGTGAATTTTTATTTAAAGAAACATGCCAAGGTGTTTTCCTAATAGGCACTGTTCCACAGGGTTTCCCCAGGTGGGTTTCTTTTGGACAAATGGAGCATGAAGTGCTGTTGATTGATCCCATTTCAGCAGCACTGCCAGCAAAGGCCGTACCCATCTGCTATAAATTGCATGTTTTCTGCCTCTTAACAGCCAATGTTCCGGGGATGTTGAAAACCTCAAACACATTTAAATACAGAAGCAAATACCAAAAACAGGGGGCCAAGGTGCTAAGCCATTTATTTGCTTTAACACTGACAACTCTGGGTTTGCCTGGACCACACCTGCTATGTTTATGTACGCAGGTGGGTGAAGCAGGCGGGGTTGAGTGGAGCAGGGGGCTGCCATGGTAGTCCCTAGATGTAATTCTTTTTCAATTCTCATTTGTCCTCCATAATTATTGAATAAGAGGAATATTCAAGACTTCAGAAAAGGATGCACGCACTATTGTTTATGGTGGGATAAAGGATGTTTACCCCACAATAAATAATAAAGATGGAGTCTTACCCTAAATCTTCAATGAACTTTGTATGTTTGCAGATAATTACAAATAGGCAAACTTACATAATATATAAAGTAATGACAAGTTTGAGCCATGTGGCTGTATGGACAAAAATTTCCAGTTTAATCTGAGAGAAAGCTTGCAATCCCCTTCCCAATTAAAAAGAAAAAAATTATATTAAAACTCTATACCAGATTTTATTATGTAAGTTAAAAATATTTTACATACTAATACGTGCCTATAAAATTAAGTATACACAGGCATTTATTTCCTGTTTACCAAAAGTGACCTTGGTTATGGGAGAATGTGGCGATTAGGGCTTTTACATGTAATAAATTCATCAAGTATTTATATTGGAGGCAGATTACAAAAAGTATATTAATATTTTAAAATAATCCTCTGATTTGAATCAAAATTTTTTTTTCTGTAGCAATCGGAACCTTTAAAGTTTACTACTCTCTGTGAAAAGAGAGGTTACTAAATATTTTTATTTCATAAACAATTGTTACTGGGAAATCAAATTTTCTTGGAAAGAAAAAAACATCAAGGGATTTAAGTATGTCCTTTCCAGGAAAATAAGTACTCACATATTCTTAACTAATGTTGTAGTAGTACATCTGCTTAGGAGTACTTTACTAAGCATTATTTTGCAGTGATATGTGCACTTTCAAATAAAGCTCTTATGAAAAGAGCCAAATTTGTAAGAATTTTCTCTGGTAGTCACTTTATTCCAAATTAGCAATAACCAATTCATGACACACTCTTTTTAACACCGTTAATAATGGCAATTTATATTTGTCCTTTGAATGTTTACCTTCTTTGTTGTGGTGGTAGTTGTGTTTGTTTTTTGAACAGCCAAAAGTTATTTAGAGACAAGTGTTCTGAGAGCTAATGATGTTTGAGGGTCAAAAATAATGCATAGGTAGGAAATAATAAAATTTTTCTTGGATAATTCAAAATGGACCTGACATTAATTCCAAAGAGTAATCTAATAATGCTGTGAGCAATATTAGCATATTTAGAATAACTCTGCAAGCTCCCCTAGCAACTGTTTAAATGCACAATTTACTGGAACAGAGTATTTTGTCATTTTAAACAAAAGCTGAACCACATACCAGATGAAATGCAAAGTAATTATTGGATTTCTTCTCAGAAATTACACATTTTCACAAACTTTTCAGTCATTTCTGTCCAATGTGAAAGTTTTACCCTTATCTAATTTTTAAAGATTATTTCATTAACTAGAAAGAACATCTGCATGCAAAATAGCTATGCCTAGTTTAGATGTCAGAGCCCCACAAACAACAGGTTGAGGATTCTGGTATCAACTTAATGGATCCTACATTCTTTATTAACTAATGAGTGAATTCAGCCAAATACTCGCTTTTACTTTCTTAGTGACCTTACAGAGCAAATTAAATTGATATGTCAGCATCATGTCAATCAAAATTAAAACTTGGTCTGTGGCACATGGGTTATGACCCAGCTGATGAGGGTTCCTGACCCACTATGTGATTTGATGTGTAAGTCTTAAGAATTAATTTAAAGCTGCCTTCTTAGCTCCCCTACAAAGATGGCTTTCTATAAACTTTCCATATCTCTTCTACCCACCTGGTTTCCCCATTTATTCTTACATTCTGTAAGAAAGAAGGAAAGATGGGAGAAAGAAGAAATATATTTCATACAAAACCCTCTCCCATTCAGACTTCCTGTTTTATCCTATTTCAACCCTAGTTCATATTGCTCAAGTTTGTCCTAAAGTTTGAAGGAGAACCAGAAGCTCTGGATGTCAGCCAGAGACAGGGAGAATTATTTGCATTAACCCCAAGCTAGGAAGGGGCTACTGCATTATCAGCAAAAGCAGCAGCTGAATCTTTTTTTTTCCTGCAAAAGGACTTTTTTTCCCTGAACTGCAGACACTTTTACCAACAATACTCATCCAACCTTTTGAAAGACAGTTAAGAATCAAATGAACGAAATCTCTCTTTGTGATTTTTCTTAGGTTCAAAGATAAATGGACTAAAATTTAAAATCTTTAAGAAGTAAACATTCTATAATACATTCATTTAAAACATCTTTAATATGAAAAGTCTTGAAAGGATAATCCAGGCTTCTTCTTTTCCACTTTCCATTAGTATACCAGATTTTTCTCCAAGAAAATAATGTTAATAAATAATTTGGCTGGTCTCTTACAACTTTCAGTCACTACTGAGGACCTCTAAATATTCTGCTTTTTTCCAAGGCTTTCTGTCATCTCTTTAGCTACCTGTTATGGGCAGGACCCAGAATTTTCTCACACCTAGGCCATTTTTGTTTCTGTGAAAGGCCAAAAAGTAAATATTTTTGGTTTGTGGGCCATATGGTTTCTGTTGCAACTACTCAACACTGTCCTTGTAGCATGAAAGCTCTAATAGATAATGTAAACGAAGGAACAAGATTGTTTTCCAATAAAACTTTATTTACAACAACAAGCAGCCATCTGGATTTGGCCCACAGGCCCTAGTTTATCTATTTCTGACCTGAAGAATTGCTAATAATGTAGCTGTAGAGAATTACACCAAGGGAAGTATTTTTTAAAAATTTACAAGGTTGGTTGCAGATAAAACAAACATATTAATGAAGGTGGAGGTATCTGAGATATCAACCTAATAACTTTTTAAAAATAATTTTTAACTCACCACAGCCAAAACAACTCTGGCCAAAATAGCCAATGACCTGTTTGCTAATAAAAACTGATAAAGCAATAAAACTTACAAAATTGCTCTTCTGTCTGACAGAAACAAAAACACATACTCAGAACATCTACACAAGAAATGCAATAAATGAGCATTAACCAATCAGGTCTGTTCCTAAGGCATCGTGTGTGACTTCACATGCAAGGGGACTAGCCATGTTCGGACAGTCATTCAGAAAATTCTCATTCCAATGTCAGCTATTAGAAAATTCAGTCGGTAGGAGCTCCTCTGTGATGGCGAGATTTACATTATGGAAATAGAAATAGCCAAGACACTGCTGTGTTTGTGCCTAGAGAGGAGCTGCCATTTTCATTTGTATGAGATGGAATCCAATGGCTCTGTGACCTCAGCCCGCCCTCTGCCCTAGCCTCATCATGTGGCATCACTGTTGCTTTTCATCCTTGTCGAGTTTCTCAGAGGGAATGTGCTCTCTCTCCTCTCTATGCCTTTGCCTGTATCGTGCTGTCTTTCTGGGAAGCTCTTCTTGCAATCTCCTTGCCAGACTAACTACCATCCACCTTACATATCTCAGCTTAGACCTCTGTTCTTCCAGAAAGATGTCTCCTTTTGCCCCAAGCCCAAGCTGGCCTCCATGGTGTCAGGATCCACAGCCCTCACTCCACGGTATGTCACTGCTTGCTTCCTTGTAGCAGTCCAAGATTCATAAATGCCCAACAACAGCAGCCTCATCTGTGTTATCATACACGGAATCCTCAGCACTTTGCAGCCTACCTGACACATGATGTGCTCTCGATTTGTCGAATGAATTGAATGCACAAACAAATGAATGCCAGCAGCGTAATGAAACTCGTAAAGTCAAAAAATCCAAATTGCAAAGTCAGTGCTTTTTTGTTAACCAACAATCTTTTGCAGTCCCTATTTCTTCCCCTATATAAGAAAGGCATTGAAATAAATGTATTTACTGGGTGCCTCCCAGATTAAAAGTTCCATTGTTCTACTCACCTGAAAAAAACAAAGACTAAATTACTTTTCTTCTTCTTCCCTGCATCAAGCATATATTAAAGCTCTCCTCTCCAGCCCAGAGGCAGTTAATGTGCTGATTTAGCATTGTTTCTGACCTCCCGTTCTTGTCTTTCCCCATTAATCCCACAGCATTTTAATGTTTTAATTCAACACATAATTTTACCATATCAGTCAGCCAAACCTGCTCAAGTTTTACTTGCCATGATAGCTTTTAACCTCTTATTCATTACCATAATTCTATGTTTTATATTACAGACTGGTCAGCTTTTAACTCAAAGGCAAGGGGCGGAAAAGAGCGCTGGAGTTTTAAAAGCTGTAAATCTCAGAGGCTAAGGAAGCAGGGAACAGGAGGAAAACGGTGAATGTGTCAAGCCTGGCTGTAAAAGCAGATCAACGACATGGGGTGCAATTTGTCCACAGAAATACTCTGGCCTGGATCTTTCACTGCCTCAGAGCCACTAATAAACTGGTAGAATGTCAGAGCCACTTTATAAGGCACCATCTGGGACTAAGCAGGGACTCTGAGGCAGGCCAGTCAAAATGGGCTTGTGCATTCTCATTCTTAACCTTTCCAAACTAAATTAAGTCTGGAGTGTTCTATAAGAAGGTAATCTCTAGAATCATCTTGAAATATAAAATATACTTTAAGAAAATGACATGATTACTTTGAAAGGGACTAAAATGGAATCATCTATAGTAACCTATAGTCATACTCTTATTATTTTGTTTAAAAGTTGGAACAGGTTAAGTTTAGCTGTGTGTCTTACTCTCCCTAAAACCCACTCTCCTTGTCTAAGATCGATGCTGTCTTTGTTTTGCCCACGAACAAACACCAGGGTTGTTAGGAACATGGTTTAGGTGGATGTTGGATCTTACTCAAGCACCTTCACCTCACCAGCCCCAACCTCCTTAGGAGTTACCTGTGGGTCAGCAGGACCCCACACCTGGACTACCACGGCACAAGGGAAGTCAGAAAGTTCCACATGACACAGGAGAGCCGGACTGCTGGGTTGTGTTTTAACCATCACCAGGCTAACAACCTACCAATGCCAATGTGATTTCTCTTCACATAACCAACCACTACTCCAGCCTTTTCATCCACAGCTACAAAATCCCAGTATTTTTCAAGCTAACCTACACTGCTCAATCCTTTAGCCAATGGATGTCCCTCTTACCATGTCCCTGAAGACGGTCACTGCTCACTTCTACCAAAAAAATACAAAAAACATCTATGCTGTTTTGAAAACAAAATGCTGAATTCTAGTCCTATTTCACGTAAATTGCATAATTTTAGTCACAAATGTCGTGGAGATCTATAGTTGCCATGAAGAAAAATCTCAAAATTAATAATAATAATACCACCTACTATTTGAATGCTCAAAAGAAGAAACAATGTCAAACAGACATTGTTCTTATTAGCTAGGACAGCCCTGCAAGTTGGCCAGTGACCCTGTTCTACAGACGGAGAAGCCAGACTACACAAGTCAATCACTGCCCTAGGCCACAGTGCTAGCAAACACTGTGGTTACCAGCAAGCCCAGGATGTGTGACTCCAAAGCTGGTACTCCTTCCCTTGCATGCAACTGCCTAGGATGGGGAACCTCATGGAAGACAATTTCCTCAAAGCGGCCATCTAGAGCTTTAACTCTGATGTTAAACTGTGAACATCAAGGTGTTCACCAAAAACAAAATATAAGACAGGGCTTAAGACACAGTGAAGACTCATTCTCACTGTTGGAGAGCTTTCTGACGCAAAAAGGTGTTTTGCCAACACTTGGAAGATAAAATAGCTGAGCCTTAGAATGAAGAGCACAAAGAAAAGGGAAGGTGACAAAAATAGCTGAAATGTTTACAAAGTAGCTCTTAAGAAGGAACCATAAGTCACGTGTCACCGGTGTGCATATGTTAGCACAATCTTCCCTTTAGCTCTGAGAAGCAGTAGATAGCTTAGAGTAGGTTTTGCCCACCTGCAAGTTCACTGTGGAGCCAGTTCCCAAGAGATACTTTTGTTATCTTTTGTACTACAGGAGAGGAAAAAGGAAAAGGATACCAAAAAAAAAAAAAAAAAAAAAAACATACTTTAAAGTCCATAAAGAGGAAGAACAGAATGACCACTAGGCAGGTATATGCCTTGGTTACAAACAGGAAATAGCTAAAATAATAAATGAATACCCAAATGACAAAACATGGAATAAAAGGGACATCTTAAATTATTCTTTGTCTCTGTGAAGCAACCCAGCAATCATTCAGAGAAGCATTTCCTCTTATGTGAAGGAAACATGACAGCACAATGACATGTGAGATGCAGGGGCATTCTTCCTCGCACCTACTAAAATTACATGTCGGCCATTCATCACAGGAGGCCCAAATTCCCACTATTCAGATTACACTTTGGGACACAGAGTTCTCAACATTTGCGTAACTTATCCTTGCTCTGTGGGCTAACACAGTTTCAGATCCTGCTACCACCAATGTCGGCAGGGACCTGGTATGTCATAACAGCAAGCATGTCAGAGGTACTGAAAAGTATCTAAGGTATCTCAGTCACCCTGTGTGTGTGGAGAAGGAAAAAACAAGGTCAGACCGTATCCCATAGGCAAGGTCTAATGAAATGCTAGACCACAAGAAGACCTCCTGCATGAGCTAGAGAGTGTGGCATGACCTGGTTTGCTATCCAAATGTACATACCTGGCCTGGGAGAGGGTCAAGTAAGCAATGATGGTGACCTAACAGATAAGCATGGAATTGGGAATGAGGAAACAGTGCAAAGCAAAGCAATTAGGGATGCAGAGGGTGAGCTGCAGCAGTCTCAAGTGGTAGCAGTGCTGGTCCTAAGAGTTATTTGTACAAGTATGATGGAATCCAGGCATGCCATGTGTGTGTATGCATGCCGTGTGTGTGTATGCACACGTGCACTTGTGTATGTTTTCCATGCAATGACTGGAGAAAGTGACTGGCTTCAGGAAGGTGAGTTTGCAAAACAAGGTTTGCAAAACATCCCACAACATACCAGACGTACCCATGCAACAGAGTACCGCTATTGAGAAACACTGGAGGAATGTTTCATGGGCTGAACTCCCTACTCATCTATCTCCAGATACTGAGGTGGGTTGGGGTGATGACAGCCCACAGCCAGACACTGTGCCACGTGGTTACACAGAAAGAGCACTGCACAAGGTATTGGGTTAGCAGGGTCTTTTCCCATTTCTGCCTCTAAATTCCTTGCTGCTGGAAAAACATTTCACTTCCCCGAGCCTCTACATTTCCTCATATGTAGAAAGAAGGGGTAATACTAGATGAATGGTTTTCAATCTTCAGTTTTCAGCAATAAAATCTTTCCCTCAAATGGAATTCCTATGTAGAGCACAGGCAAAAGTTGAGACTCTCTAGCTGCAGTGAAGAAGGGACAGGAGGCTCTCCTATCCCTCAAGGAGTGACCCCAAGGCATGTCCCTGAACCCAAGGTTCAGCTTTGAAAAAGACAACCAACAGCTGTTGCAATTCCTTTAAACATTTGTGTTCTAAACTTAAGATCTGTGTACAAATTGAATGTATTTGGAATGAACAAAAGGCAGCAATTTGACAGAAAAAACTTTGTTTTGAAAACACAGTATCCTGATCCTGGAACTCCTTGTTCTTAAGTTCATGGCCAAGTTATTTGTAAACTTCTTGAGCTCCATTTCCTTAAAATAAGCATGATGCCACTAATTTGCAGGGGTGTTCTAAAGATCAGAGATGACATGTGCCTCTGCCAGTATCTCCTTTGTGCTTACTATGGGGCAGTGACGGTGTAAGCATTGACTCATTTCATTGTATTCTTCACTGCAACCTTATGAAGAAGCTATAATACATATTATTGTTCTTTTTTTTTTTTTGATACATAGTCTCACTCTGTTGCCATGAATAGAGTGCTGTGGCATCAGCCTAGCTCACAGCAACCTCAAACTCCTGGGCTCAAGTGATCCTCCTGCCTCAACCTCCCAAGTAGCCGGGACTACGGGTGCAGGCCACAATGCCGGCTAATTTTTTAATTTTTAGTAGAGATGGGATCTCATTCTTGTTCAGGCTGGTCTCGAACTCCTGAGCTCAAGCAATCCTCCCCCCGTGTCCTCCAAGAGTGCTAGGATTACAGACGTGAGGCACTGCACCCAGCCTATTATTGCTCTTTATATATGGGTGAGTGTCTCCATTCAGTCAGGAGGGTCCAAAGTAAAGACCTCAATAGGTTCTATTGCAGTTTGCTACACAGTATATCAAGGACGTACAAAAGTTTCCATCATGTGGGTGAGGGGGAGACACCTATCCTTATATCTTTACCAAATCATATAATATTTCACTAAGTAGCCAAACCAAAATTTTAGGGAATATTGGAAATTTATATAAACCTCTCCGAGATGGCACAGTATCTTTCTTTAGAGAATTCCTGACGCAAACTATTTTCCTTTATTTTAATCAATACCGGATGACAGTTACCAATTTAAAGATAAATAAATTAAACAAAATAACAAGCAAACTTTCCCAGAGTTAGGACTGGCCATTGGGCTTACTGATGCCTCTTCGATGGGGATACCCGAGCAGATAAAGACATTCTCTCAGGACCCACCCCACCCAGAAACAAGTTCCCACCGCTTGCAAAGCAGAGGGGACTCACGTGCCCAGACGCTCCTCGCGTTTTTTGCTGTCCTTTCCCCACACTTCAATGTCCAAAATGCCCATCCTGTCAGAGAAGTAGTGAAAGTCAAACTGTTCCTGCCACTGCGGATTTGCACTCTTACACAGTGTCTAGAAAACATGCAGTTATAATATTTATTTTCTTAAAACGTCATTCATTGCTACAGCAGCTACACATTCATTTCATTTCTAAACTGCAGGAGACCGTGAAGATGGATCTCACCCCTTATAAAGTCAAACTTTCCTTTTTGGAATGAAAGGGACTCAGAGGGTTCAGGAATTGACAAAAACATTACTACTCCTTTTATCTGGCCCCCAGATTCAATAATTTATCCACCAAGTTACAAAGAATACTGTTAGCTCACAAGAAACCATAAATAACATGGGACTCTGTGTATGTGTGTACACACACTGGACATATATCAATAGACACTTTGCAATCGGTCTCTTACAGACGATAACACTAATTGGTTAAACAAAGGCAAGTAGCATTTTTGTTGGCATACCCATTCAGTGCTAGCTTAAGAACTATATAAATTAACAGTCTGGGTTCTTAATTAACATCTGCCAAATGCATTAAATAAGAAACTCATAGCTTGTACATTGCTGCCTCTTTTTAAATACAAAGTTACTGAATCCAGTCTCTAGGGTGGGAGGAAGACTAGGAAATTCCATGGCAGCCAAACCAAAAAATTAATGAGAGTGGTTTGGAACCCCCACAAGTGTTTCTATGTTCTCCAAAAAGTGATTTCAAACTGCTTCTGTGTTTAGTTCATTGGCAGGATTTTCATTTTGGTTTCATTTACATAGAGATACAATTTGTGAATAAAAGTGAGCAAAAATGTTGGCCACTAAGTATTATCAGGCTCTCAGGGCACAGCATCAAGCATTAAATCCTAGCACCAACTACTCCTCCATAAGAATAACATGGGCACCTCAGACCTCAGCTGTAGTCAATGTCACGTAAAATCATTTAAGCTGTTTTTCACATCAGGCTTAATATATCAGATCATAGAATTTAGAAACCAGGCGGGGGGAAAAAAACCTATTAGATCACAAATTAAATGCAGTATTCCCCAAGGGGGAATGTAGCAGATATTGGACTAATTCTATACTTCACCTTAGTCCAAAGGGCTAAGTGTGCTTAGTGATGAATAATTTTTCCATAAATCCTTAGCCTGACCCTGGCCAGCTAAAGGAATCTTAGTAGAGAAATGTGGTTACCCTGGATACGCTCACTCTAAGGCATAGCCTAAAATTACCTGGTCAAAATAATTATCTACAGATTTCTGGCATAGCTCGCCCTCAATTTTTCACACTTTTTATAAACTATTCTTCAACATGAGCCTCAATTCTCTACTGCTTTGTGCTCAAATAAATGATGTCTAATATTTGATTTCGCACTGAAAATCATGCAGCGCAGACAACCTCTTGCCTCCCAAAATCATTTTCCAACTTGTCTGCATCTGGTATGTCCTGGATGCTAGAAAGGCCCAAATGGCAAATATCTTTGGGTCTATTTTCAAAATCCTCTAGTGTTTTTTTTTTCTTTTCTATGTGGCTTTTGGCATGCGATTTAACTTTCAAGTACTCTACCTCCCTCAATACATAAAACATGGCAAATATTCCTGTCTGACAGTTATGTAAAACTAATTAATTATCATGGTGTGGAGACTATGGTTTTTGAAATAAAATTCACACCAAATTACTAAAACTAAAAATTAAATGGAACTTGGATTGGCAGAATAAGATGAATTATTCTTAAAGACAGTTAAAAATGCCATTACTTTCATTTAAAACAAATCATTTTTAATACTTTAGTTTTTGTTAAGAAAATCACAGCAAAAAAACAGCAACACTAGATATCTATTTTTAGCATCAAGACTAACAAGTAAGAGAAAGCAAAGGGTATATAATTTTGAAAATGTTTTCAGTTATCTCAAATACTTTAATCCAAATAACACATGCAATTTTATTTCTGTTGCATTTTGAAAACAGTTACCCTTTTTTCAAATTCTATGAAACATTGCTTATTTTCAAAATGAACATAAATCATGCATTCACATCTATGATTTAATAAGCTTTCTCTAGCTCTGAGTTACTACATTAAATTATACTAAGCAATCAAAACAATACCCACATTAATTGACTACATCTATATAATTATTTTGTTTTCTGGGATGCCCCTTAATATAGTTAGGACTGCTAAATATAAATTACTTCTATTCTTGTGAAATTTAAAGTGGTAAAACTATTTTTAATTTATGTTTACTCTTAAAGATACTGTTCTCCTTATGGAATCTGTAGAACTTACCTTACTTTTATATCTCTGATCCCCCAGTTTTAACTGGACAAATATCTCTGTCATGTTTCCTCCTGAGACATTCTTCCCTTCCAACAAAGTTATACTTATAATCCCGTTCCAGAGCTGGTTCTTTTTCAAGGACTCTGAGAGCCGGAGGTTGCGTATCAAAGAGGACTAAAGCAAAAAATAAAGATGACACATAAACTTGCTGATAATTCTTGAGAGTGACTTTGGTGATCATAGGAATTCCAGTTTCCAGTATTTGATTATAAAAGTCACTCCCTGCCTGGTGAAAAGTGTTACTCTTCATTGGTTTCACAAACCTACAATCACAGTTATGAGACTTTCTTCTCAGGCTCTGGATTTGTAATAATGTAGTGAAGAATGAACATAAGCAACATTTTGATTTGGCACTGGCCTGTACTCCCACCCAGTGTGCTCTTTGGTAGCAATCCTTAAACTGGGTCTTTAGCTACTTTAATAGTATGATGGAAAGAAAGGCATTCTGGGAAACAGATATAAGAACAAGGCATTGCTTTGCAAGGAAACAAAATACCCCTGAGCATTTAGAAATAATGGCTTTGAATGTATCCTTCACATTTGAATCTGTTCCTACTTCCCTTCATTCCTTGGGCTACCACTAAAAGCCCAACATTACCCTGAGATTTGCAATTCCAAATACAGCTTACACTGGCCTAGCTGTGCAAACAGCTTTGCAGAGGTGGCGGTGGGGTGGGCTGGTGAGTGGGATGTGTCAAGGACATCTCAGAGTGCCTATGACCCAGTGGGGGTTCAGTAACTGTTAACTTGGTTTTTTTCTTTTTTATCATTTTCTAAACTATATTACTCATACACACTAATATACACCTTATTAAAAGAGGGCAAACATCCTCTGTTATTAATTTATAAAGAGAATATCCACACTTTATTCTTAATTTCCACTATGTAGATTTTGAAACATACACAAAGGTAAAGACAATAGTATAATAAATCTCAATGTGATTATTCACTAGATTCAACATTTTGCCAAACTCATTTCATCTAGACCTTCATTATTTTTTCTGGCTGAAATATTCTAAAGCAAAATCATACTTGTTTTTACGTAACCAGCACATCATGATCACACTCAACAAAATTAACCATAATTTCCTTAATATCATTCAATACCTCGTGCATATTCACATTCAACCATGGCTTTTTATGGCTAGCTTGTTTGAGTTAGCGTCCCCACATGAGCCACCTGCTGCATTTAGCTGGTGGAGTTCATTTACCTTTTCCATTCAGTAAGTAAAACGGCACAAGGATAGACTTCTTTCTTTGAAGGAGAAATAAACGGGCTGAAGAATGCAAATGGCACCGAGCATCATAGTAAAGCAATGAATTTCCGACACTACGTATCCATTCCCGTCATCTGCTCACTATATCTTCCAGATCATTTAGACACCAATTTGTTCGCACACCAGTTAGTCACAATTTATCACAACAAACGGTATGTCAGTCCATATTAATTATATACCAGCTTACCTCATCGAACTTAATAAACAATGCAACAACGCCACTCCAGGCATTTTTGTTGATTGTTTTGTGACGACTTTAAGCAAAAGACATTTAAGGAATATATATTCCCAAACTTCATATCTATGTTGCTTTTCTCTTGAAACACACACACACACACACACACACACACACAGAGAGAGGTTTCGGAGGTGTCCAGACAGAGCAGGGAGGGCAAATGTGGAAAGAATTAATTTAAAAAGAAAAAAAAAAAACCTCTCCTCTGGTAAACATTAATAATTTCTTCTTCACTCTTAAATATCTATAAAATATACACACACACACACACACACACACCCTTCATATACATATACACCTACATATACATATATATATTCCAGATAGAGTATAATCAATAATGAAGGTTTATGAAATATTTAAAATTAAGCAATTTTATATTTGTTAAAAATGACACTCAGCATCACAATATATATATATATACACACACACATATGTATGTATCCGTAGACGCATAAATAGATACAGGCATACCTAACACATTTTATAGTTTATTAAGTACATGGGCTGAAAATTTCTACCTTTAGAGCAAAAATGAGATTTTGATTCATAGATCCTGCCACAATTCCTCTTTTTGCTTTTTTTTCTTCTTAAAGTTTGACTTGCCAACCAACAAACTAAAGTATGACCTGTCCCACGCCATGCTTCAAAGTTCCGACAGATATATTCCTCCCTAAACACTGCAACTATTTCACAATCCTTTTTATAAAGAAGGGAGTAATGTCCACAAAGGATCAAAGGGCACCTACAGTCTGGCAATTGCCTAAGAAAAATGGCAGCACTTCCATGAAATATGCCCTAAAATAATTTTGCGGCTTGGTATGTCCTAATTTCAAATTGGATGTTTATCTTGGAAAGGCTTCTATCTAACTTGTCCATAAAAAAGCCCCACTTAGCTCTCTGAGCTCTGTGAAAACGGAATCCAAAGCTGGTTATTAAGGGGGCCTAGAGATCGCTTCCATATGGCGGAACAGCATGGGAGGGCAAGGCTGAGGCCTGTATCAGGCGCGGCTTGGCTGGAGCTCCTGATCTATCCACGGACACTCGTTGCATTACACCATAACATCTGGATTATTGCTTGTAATGTCCCTGGGAAATATCCACTTTCCATCAAAGCTTTTATCTATCTCAGTCGGACTTTGAACATTTTAGTATTTAACGCAGGCATGTTTGATCTGATGGACTTGTTCTTTGCTGTCCAAGATTTTTTTTCTCCCTCCTCCTAAAGGCAGGGCAGGAGAAGAGAAGTATTTATTGCAGAGTTCATAGATAGAAAAGAACACAAAACCTTTATTCTACTTATTGCACCCTAAATATTTCTGCAAAACCCACTATAAGGTTATCTCTAAAATAAAGTTTCATCTGTGAGTCACAAATTGGGTGCGGGGGGTGCTTTCAAGAAGTTTCTTAATTACTTTAATATTTCTCTTCCACCCTTGAGAGGCTTGACGAGGCTTCACAGCTGTGTCTGCCACTGGGGGCAGGGCCGGGGCCATGCTGTGTGCTCTGTTGCAGAGCTGGGCTCTCAAAATCTTCTGCACTCTTCAAACACGGCCTTTCCCCCACAATAAATCGACTCATCTGCACTCACTCAGTTCACCAAATAGCTTAGGTTTTCATGTCTGTGCCCGAGCCTATAAGTGAAATTTGTCATCTTAATGCAGCCTGGAATGTGAAAGGAGAGAAGGAAATGACCCATAGAAGGGAAAGGCCACCCCACCTGAACTGAAACAAACACCAGGAGATAGCGCAACGTTTCTGGGTCCTGACCCTAATCCCTCACCAGACATAACAGATAAAACATAGTACGTCGGAGTTTTGTTATTGTTCTCCTTCCTCCCAAGGGATCAGAACCTTTTACTATGTCTGTGTTGACCCACTCATCTGCTCTCTCTTCGTCAGCCCCCACCCCAACAAATCCCCACTCACTCTAAAACATAAAAGGTGATTTCCATCTAAAGCAGTTATTAATAGTGAAAACGAGGTGAGGTATTCAACTGAGAAACATACTGACTTTAGTAAAATTGAAAGAGCTTTGAAAATATGAATTTACTTCTGGGTCATGATAATCTCAGAGCCAAGGCAGGAAGGGAAGCCATTCTGGACTGAGAGTGAAATTATATACGGTGGATTCAAACAGGTAGAGCATCCTCAGAAGTTTCTGGTCTAGGAACAGACTCTTGAAATGGTGAATGGACTGTCATTCTTGGGACATATAAAATAGACAACAACCTGGTGTCACGTGTTAAGGATTTTGGCCAAGGGCATGCTGGGGAGAGAGTGATGTGAATTCCAGAATCTCGTTTCTTTGGCGTGGCTGCAAAGGAAAGCCAGGGATGATGGGGACAGGTCAGCTCACTGCCTCCTACCTGTCCCGAGCCACGATGAGTTGCAGAGAGGTCAGGAGTGAAGAAATACTGAAAGGAGGGCATGAACACAGGAGCTGCAGCCACCAAAAGCAAGGTTACCTTCAGCTTTGCCATGCCCTGAACTGCCTTTGCTGGCCAATACCCATGGGTAATTATCCAAAATACTCCTTTGCATATAACAAAATACCAAAACAAACAAACAAAAAAGAAGTCGGTAAGAAAAAGCACTGACCAGGGCATACCTACCAGGTGCCAAATACCACATGGGTACTTTTAATATATTGTCTCAGTGACAGAAGTATAAAAATATCAGTGTTCCCATGGTGCCAAGCCATTCTATTTAGATTCTCATTGATTATTTTTCCTAAGTCATCATGGGAAAGTAAGGAGTCAATGGAAACAAATGCATGAAAAAAAAAAAAATCAACTAACTCTGTAAGAAAAATGAATCGTCAAGCCAGATTCCAACTACATTGACCATTGCTTTGAAAAGCTACGAGAAAACACTCAGTCTATAAAAGGTTTCACTGAAATATTCCTTTCAAGCTTTTTCAACATGTAAAACTACTGCTTCTTGTCAACAGCTTTTATAGCACAACATGACAAGAGCCATACGTCCGTGGAACAGGCTCCCAGAAAAGATCCTACTCGGCAGCTCCTCTACATCATCTGAAGAGGATCCTGTAGACGTAAATTCTTCTAGAACTATACAAACATCTTTGCATAAGGATACAAAGAAAACCTTTTAAATTTCCCACGTGTCCGTGGAAGATGAGATTTATATTTGTATACGAAAACTCTATCACAGTTCTAAGGATATGAATAATCATTGTGTATAAGCACATTAACTATAAAAGCATTGTTATTAAATTTAATGTTTTTAAATTATAAGGGAATAGCATCACTCAATTTTTGTACTTAATAAAAGTTAGATTAAGAGAAGATAAAAAGATAAAGACTGTAAATACCCTGTGACTCCCAGAGTTTAGGACCAAGAAAATTGTAATATATTTCCTACTATCAAAAAAAGCAAGCAAAAAAATGAAGGCCATGTGATTCAATAAGATTTTCTTTTTGCTCTAACCTCTAGGAAGCTCAAAGTTAAATTCTGTGCTCATTGGCAATAGTATTATATTTACCATCTAGTATTTCTTGGCTCACTTGTGTTCATCCTGCTAGCTGTCTCTTCTCTGTTCCATTTTTCTGTGACTCTCCTTCACTTAACACACCCCT